AAATTAATAAAATATAATTATAGAAAAAAAAAAGAAATGCAAACAACAACAACAAAAAAAAAAGAAGTCCAACCTTGCCTCTTGTGGCCAAATCACATATTCTCTCTGAGCCTCTGTTTCCTCATCCATAAAATGAGGAAATAGCAATACAGATAGCAGTGGGATGCAAGTGAGGGTTCACATCAAACACCCAGCAAGGGCCTGGCAAGAGGTCATCTGCTCTCACAACAGGTTACTTCCTCCCACCCTGATCGCAGCTTCTCCCTGGCCCTCAGGGCCCGGTGCAGCTCCAGCATGGTCTCAGCTACCCATCCTGGAATATGTAACATGAGACACTCAGCTGGCTCTGGAACAAATGGAGTCAAGAGGTCCAAGCTGCAGGAGTCAGAGCCCACAGCAGCCTGAGACACTTGTGGAACCCCGACCCAAGAGGTGGCCCAGCTGAAAGGGCCCTTCCAGGCTGCAGGACTGGGGTGCCTTACCCTGGGCCCTGGCTCTGGCTGGAGTCCTGACTGTCCATGCTGGGGGTGACATCCTCTGGGGTCAGCGTAGTGGACGACACAGGTAGACCTTCATTTGTGGAGGCTGTAGTTAGAGCGACACTTGTAGGTGTGTTTGATGTTGGAACTGTTGCTGAAAGAACACGTAAGAACCAGGATCTGACCCTGACCTTGTTCCCACCCCTGTGGGGCTTGATTTCACAGAGCAAGCTTACTTAGCTAAGGGACCGACGGGGGACCTGGATAAAGGTCTCCTCCAGACCCTCGGAACCAAGGCTCACGGGGACACAGGGCGCCCGGCAGTCCTGATTCCATCCTGCTGACCCTGCCTGCCATCCTGGAGAGTCTAGCCTCTTTCCAGCCCGGTCTCTTCCCCTCTAAGCACAGCCACACAGCTGCAGAGACTTGTGAGCAGAGGGCATGTCTGGCACACCGAGAGTCCAAGTCCCCACTGAGCTCTGGCTGTCCCCTGACACTTTGGGCCTCTGGAGGTTGACTTCTCTCTCCATCGCAGTCTCTCCTCACAGCCTCTCCTCAATCCTGCATCAACACTGAGCAGGGACCGTACCTCCTCCAGGAAGCCCTTCCTGATGCTGAGGCCCAACGCCCCACTGTAGGAGTCTGTGGTCCTTGGGGCATCTGTCTTTCTGAAAGTACATGGTGCTGTCAGGATGCGCCCTGATTCTCTGCTCTACTCAGCTACAGGACAGTATCCGAGACTCCTTGGCACGTCAGCATGTCAGGTAGAGGTAACAGGATGCTGCATGGACTTCCCCATGAATGCGACTTTGCTGGAGGGATCCCAGGTTGAGGGGAGGGTCTGGGAGTTTGTGGAAGGGGAGAGGTACAGAGCCCCCCAGAGGACAAGGGAAACCCCAGGGGACTTCTTGTTGGTCAATGCAACTCTATCAAGTCAATAAAACGGCCCACACTCAGACCAGTGACCAGGCCCTTCAGAGAGACAGTCTGTACAAAGTCAGAGGAAACTGGCCGTTCTCCAGGCAGACCTGTAGGTTGAGGGTCCAGTAGATGTCTCAAGTCCGGAGATACAAAGTCAGGGGAAAGGCGGGATCTGGGCTTGAAAATCCGACAGCAGTCAGAACGTGGGGTTTGACAGGAGCTGGACCATTGCTGTGACCCCTCTGGTGTTAGGAAGCCTAGGTTACTGCTCTGTGTGTGACCCCTGGTTCATGAAAGCAGGTGCCTCAGAGGAGACTTCCTGTCCCCAAGGTCAAAGTGAATGATGGGAGACCATCAGATTGTACCCATCACAGAGCTCCAGTGGGATCAAACCCAGATCCTCTTCACTCACCCCTCCCCACCTGCCGGGTGTCTATCTCACAGGCCACTGAGACAGGACCAGGCAGCTTGGGTTTGGGCCAGCTCCCATCTCCTGCGCGCATGCGCTCAGTGGGAGCGGGGGCAGGGATGGGGTGGGGCGGGGTGGGGCGGGAGCAAAGACATGCACACACCTGGGTTTCCCCAAGTCTCTGACAGAGGGCCTGCCCAGCTATTCAGGCGGCCCTGGGGCTGTGTAGGGGCGGGGGTGGGGGGGTGGTAGAGGGGGACTTACCTGGACTCACACATACCACCACCTTGAAGTAGGAATCAAGTAGAATGAACTTATCATCCCACCATTTTATATCAATGCCACACCAGTACACAGCATCGTCCTCCGCTGTGAGGTCCCACATGGTCACCATGAAGTTGAGCTGCTCAGGAAAGTCCCTGATGGACACTCGGCCCTTACTGACTGTTCTCTCTGACCCTTTGGTTTCCACAATCTTCTTACATGTTGTGAGTATTGATTCTCTGCACCAGTATTTGTCATTATTCTTGAATTTCTCCTCATACCGACACTGCAGGCTCAGGGATCCCCCCTCAGGGCCACTCACCGTCCCGGGGCCGCTCAGTGTCACACAGCCTGGAAAACACAAGCCGAGGCCCAGCTCCTTACGTGGACGGTCCTGGGACAGAAGTGCAACAGGGGTCAGTTGCCCTGAAGTCCCTCTCACCCCTGCCCCGTCCCCATGAGCCCCTCCAGCGCCCTCTCAGTCCCTCTGCCCACCTGTGATGTGGATCTCAGCAGCCTTTTCTGTCAGACCCGTCTCCTTCCAGCTGCTCTGCCCTCTTCCTCACCAACCTCAGGCCTTCCACGTCCCCCCTCACCAGGAGAGTGAGAACCCCTCCTCCCAGCTCCCTGCTTCGAGAAGGGGGCCTGGAAGGTCAGTCCTCACTCCATCAGACAACAACCCCTGCATCTCACGACCCACACAGCCATCTGCACCCAGAGAATATGCACCAGGGCAGAAACTGGGGGACCAAGCCTTTGCAACAATATTCTGGGCACAGTCGACAAATTAGCTTGTGGATCAGAAAAGACAAACATGTACAGAGGGTATATATGAATGTTTCCCAGTTTCCAGAGCTACACAGCTCTGGGCAGCTGTGTCTCTAATACAGAGAGTGGCACGGGCTGGAGAGGTGCGAGGTCCATGGCAAAGACACAGAGGAGGGGAGCACAAAGCGGAGTGGACGGTAGGCCTCCCACACAAGGAAGGCTGACTACGGGCATCTTCACTTCACCTTGGATCTTACTTTAGTTTGCCCAGCTGGCTCTTACAGACTTATTTTTCAAGGAAGCTCAGTTTTTTCTTCCTCGATTTCTGCCTGCTATTTCCACATCTCAGATCCAAAGTACATGGAATAAGGGGGGTGTGGATGAAGCGGATGCTGGCCAGCCAGGGAGAGGGCACATTCCTGCCCTGAGCCACGGCCCTGCTCCGTGGGCACTGCTGCCCACCACCCCCATCAGCCTGCGATCGGGTACCCACGTGGTTTGCGATTCTCTCCTAGAATAAGCACTCTGTGACTTTACTTGCCCTTAAATTCCTTTAAGCTCAGACTCACTACCATCGAGTCCGTTCCAACCCACAGTGGGCATCTGAGGTTGTGAATGGAAACGGAAGGAGAGCGCCTGTCTCGCTCCAGCAGAGTTGCTGGTGGATGTGAGCATTGGAGAAGCACATGGCCTCTGGGTTAACATCCCAGTTTGCTGGGGAATGCAGCTCCAGAGCTGGGGTGGCCTGGCCGGGTCTGCAGGGAGTTGGGCTTCTGTAGAGAGCTGAGACTTCCCCAAAGGCCATACTTCTCTAGAGGTTTCAACCCACCACTGGCTCCTATGGAGAAAGACGGGAAATTTCCTCCTGTGCAATTTACAGCCTTGGAAACCCAGCAGAGGGTCAGCTACGAGTCTGTTCCGATCTGAGGGCAATGAGAGTTTTGGGGAGAAATCCTTTCACTTCGAGACTCTGGAACCACTGGAACTTTCCAGGAGACAAATACAAAGTAAGATCTCGATTAACACTTCACCATAAGGCTCTTGCCACACCCTAGGCATCTCTAGAAGCCTTGGTCTCCTCGCTTCACCCAGCAAGGCTCCTCACTCTCACTCACACCTACCCACAGCTGCCCACAGCTCCCATTAGTTCCTCCTAGCCCCCTCTGGACCTCTTCTGGAGGGACATTCAGCGGAAGGGAACAGAAAGGGCCTTCCAAAGCCTGGGGAGGGTGTGGCATTTGCAAAAAGTTAGTGTAGTGATTGATAAAGTAAAGTTCAAAGGTGCACCCTGCCTTCAGCCCGAGTAGAGCCTGGATTCATGTCTCAGCTCCACTGCACATCAACTGTGTGCTCGGGGGCAAGTGACCTACCCTGTCGGGGTTCACACGACTCATCTGTAAACGGATGATGTTTGCGCCCACTTCAATGCCTGTCAAATTACATTGGGCTGAACCCTATGAAATCAGGTCTCCTCAATTGTTTTGTAACCAGAGAAGCAGGAATGCCACATGACCACTATTCAAAACTATTGAGGGGAAAAAGAGATAAAAGCCACAAATGGAAAAAATAGAAATGAAAGGAAAGATAGCAGTAAATATAGAGAAACTCAAAAGCAGCAAGATGGTACTGTGCAGAACTTCTCTACAAACACACCTAGCAGCCAAGAGGAATGGGGAATTTTATAGAAAAATACAATTTATTAAAATGTGTGATGGTTAAGGTGTGCCAGTCTGGCTGGGCCCTGATTCTCTGGTCCGTCAATGATGATGCAGTCATCCCCAAGACAAGAGCTGATAGAACGTAGCGATGTTCATGTTCATCTTGGGACACGGACCAGCCACCTGTCATATTCTACAGCCTGTGAGTGAGTAGTCGGATATATGACCTCCTCCAGCGGCCTAGTGGCAAAAAGTAGCTCTGCAATCCTGATGGCACACTGTTCAAATCCACAAGCTGCTTCATGGGAGAAGGATGGGCAATCTCTTCCCGTGAGACTAACTGCCTCTGAAAACCCACCAGAGGGTCAGCTATGGGTCGGTTTTGACTCCATGGTACACAACATCAACAACAAACTTATATTCACCAGCCCCTGAAGGCCTGTATGTAGCCTGGCATCTGTTCCAACGCCTAGGACTTGCCAGCTTCTATAACCATGTGAACGATTCCATATATTTACACGAATGATGACATTTGTATTTGTGTGTGTGTGTGTGTGTGTGTGTGTGTGTGTGTGTGTGTGTGTGTATGCAAAGCTTCACTGTGTTGCATTTCCAGAGAACCCAGCCCAATATACATACAGTAAGTGCTTAAGAAAGAAATGTCAGCCTCGAGCCCTTCTTCATTCAAGACACGTTCCGGCCACTATGTCCTGACTCAGTCCCCTTCCCTTCCCGAGCTGTAGATGGTCATTTTCCTTTGCCTGAATCTGGCTCCTCTGCTGCCCGTCGCAGCCATCCTACCCCTTTACAAGAACTCTTACAACTTCCGTGACAGAGCTTAACTATTCTTGAGATTCTCTCTCTCTCTATGTTCTCTTCTCTCAGAAACAACGAAAATAAACTACCTTTGTTGAGGATACGCTACTCCTGACACCTTAGAGGTAAGACTATTGTAAAAACTCCCAAAATGGTCTAGGTCCCCAGGAAAGGTATCATTATCCTTTAGAGAGAAGAGGGATATCAGAAAACCCTCAGCTTCACCTCTGCACTCACCAGGAACAATAACGAGTATTTAGAAACCTAAACTCGGGGGGAGGTTGGGCGGGGAGAAGAGTGCAACACTGAATGAATGGAAATCCAAAGTCTGTAAACTTTCATTAAAATTAATTTTTTAAAAAAACAGAAGAAAATAAATGAATCAGTTGTTCACACTACTATATATTTTTTACTAAATAAAATACAATCTTTTTTTTTCTTTTCAAAAAAAAAGAGAAACTTGCTTATGTGCCTTTCAACACCTACCCCTCCTCCCTAAGCCCATTAAACACGAACATGGACACTAGAGACCCTTCCCCCAACTAGGGGTTTTGCTATTGCTGAGACCCCTCAGCTACAATATTCCTGTGTTGGCTTGATGCTTTGTGTTAGGGTCCCAAAGTCTCATCTCATTTACACCACTGAACAAGGAAAGAAGACGGTCACTAAGTTAACTTTTCAACTCAAGAAACGGGAAAGACACTAACTGCAGAACAGGAGGAAGAATACATTTGCCATGGAAAACTGCGGAACTAACGCACATATTGAAAAATAGTAAGACATTGAAATGGTAATGGTAAGGAATTGAAAAATAGAAGCTTTGGTGAGGAGAAAATGACAGTATAGACAAACCAGTGAGTAGTCAAATTGAAAACAAAACAAAAGGAAAAAAAAGACACAAATAGACACTCCAAAGAACCAGGCTAATTTGCAGCTCTAGAAATAAGTTTGTAAATATGGATGATTTTAAAAGATAAATGATGAAAGCTGGCTTCAAGTAGATTGTTGAGATTTTTAAGTATAATCAAATGAGGATAGGCTCTATCAAGTAATTCTTTGCCTTTCACAGAGGGTCGAAATTCATTTTCACCAATTAAATCTTCACATTTAAAAATCTTTCCCTTTTCACTTTTAAATCTTCATGGAGCAAGCATGTCCAGCTCTATTTCAGCATCTGTCAAGAATATAAAGACAGGAAATTTTCCTTCATTCTTTTCATTTAAGCAGCATAATATCCAGACTGCTATCTGGCCAAATCTCTCATTATGATTCAACTTGGATCCGCCAGTTATTCCCTGGGAGAAGAATGGGCACGCTCCTCCCTGACAATTAATTTAGAGCCTCAGGACCTGCTGGGGAGTCAGCTACGAATCAGTTCTGGGTCAAGTTCAATGACAAAGAGTGAGGTTGTTGAGGTCTTAGCACCCGGGAGAAAATTACAACCATCATCTCCACAGATACCGAGACTACAGTCAGCATCCACTGATGTTTGTTGATTATTTTCAAAGCCTTCGTATGCAGCCATAAACGGGCATTTTTTCAGACTTAGTGAAACAAGGGGCACTTTCCTCCTGACCCAGGAACAAAGCAAAGATAAGCTGCCCCAGCAGTCACTAAGTGGCATTATGTGGGACACCTTTTTCAGTGGGAAAGAAAGAAATGTCAGAGGAGAGGCAAGTTTCCACTGCCTGCAGACCCTGTGAAAACCCAAGAATCGGGGGAGAAATTGGGAGGAGGAGGGCGACGAGGACTGGCTTCCAAATGAACACAGAAAAATTAATAGAATTCCTACAGACGAGGGACCACTGGTGGCTTAGTGATAAGGAATTGTAATGTCAAACCAAAGGTACGCGATTCAAATCCATCTACTGGTCTCCTGTCATGCAATTTACTGCCTCTGAAAACCTGCTGGAGGGTCAGCTATAGGTTAGTTCCAACTCGTTGGTACACAGCGACAACATAGACGACTGGCAAAAAATGAAAACCGAAAGCAACCAGTTTATAAGAAATGCAGGTGAAAGATTGTAAATGGCCTGGGAATAGCCCTAACCAGAGACGCTCGGGATCTGGGTGAGAGAAGCTTTCATCCCTGAAGGGACACGAGTTAAATCTCTGGGAAGCCTCAACCCCGTGATTTCTCAGCAGACAGATGCTCCTTCCTTCTCTCCCCAGTTTCACTTCTGTCCCCTTCCTTGCTGCTGTCCATCCTTCCCTCTTTCCCCCCACTTTGTCTCCCTTCTCCTTTGAGACAAGTGATCCCTGTCCCTAAACCCCATAGTGGGCTGTTACCAGTCACATCTGTGCAAAAACACCCCCTCCCTGCTCAGCCTTGAGGCAGCCCGGTGCTGCCTCATCTGGACCCCAGCATCCCGAGACCACGTCCTCCTCCTCATCGTCCCCAGTCTTCCTCTGCACCCAGAACAGGAAGAGTGCCTGCCCCAGCATACACTTCAGACGCCTTCAGCTGTGGCCGCTTTCCCAGGACTCAGAGGACAATCCTCATCTCATCTTCCTTCTTGCTTTAACGACTATTCTAAGGAAACCCACCTCCCCTTCACAAACACACTCATTCCAAGTGCCCCAGGCTCCAGGAGGTTGTACAAGGTCAGGGGGTCCAGAGAAGGGCCAGGACCTCACCCTTCCTCTCCAGGGTGTAGTCCCCCAGTGGTGGTGGACAGAGACTTGTGCCAGCCCACATGCCATGCCAGTGCCTCAGGTCACACCTCCTGATTTGCCGCCTCCTCCCACGCCTTCTTCCACACTCCCTCCTGGGGCAGAGTTTCAGTCCAGGGTTCCCCTCACCTGGGAGCCAGAGAAGGAGCAGAGCTGGAGGCAGCCAGGCAGCCCGTTTGCAAGGGCTCATTCTCCAAGGTAAGAGCCGCCTCCGACAGACCAGGTATTAGCTGGACACCAGTCTTAAGCCCTCTGCAGGAGGGGAGGGCCGGATCTCCGAGAGCCACACTTCTGCTTTTCTTCCTGTCTCAAAGCTGCTTCCTCATTCAGTGTCTTTCCCCTAAAACTGCTCAGAACATGCAGGAAACCCCGAAAGCAGCAGCCTATGGCTGGTAGAGGTGCGACTTGGAACCTTATATTTTCTTATTCAGTTCCAGTCGAATTCAAGTGCTGTAGCCAGTTCAGTCAGGACAGTTCAGTCCCATCACTCACGGAAGAGCCCTGTCCTTCTTCTCATGCACCCCAGGAAGGCAGGACCAGGTTGAGTGGTTCCTCTCTGGTCATGATCAGTAACTCCTCCCTCCATTCCCTGTGGTTGTGATGAGAAGCCTCGGCCCTTGGCGGTGCCCACAATGAGGTGTGTCCTCCAACCCCATGAGCCTTCCAGCTCTGATATTGAACCCCCACATGATGCTACAACCCCAGAGTTCCTGGGGAGCTCCTAGCTTCGAACATGTGTCCTCAACTTGACTAAAAGTTCCTCAGTTTGTAGCTTTCTTGCCTGTATAAACTCCTTTCGATCCAACTTGGGGATGGACACAGAGCAGGGATCCCACATGCTTGCACAGACGGGCCTTCTTACCCGGGGCCATGGCTCTGTGAGGGGCACCCTGTGACCAGCACGGTGGGCCACGCAGGTAGACCTTCCGTTGTGGTGGAAGAGACTGTGGTATGGTGATGCCTGCAAACGTGCTGGATGTTGGTGCTGCTGCTGAAAACACACGTCAGACCAGGACCTCCCCTCTGGCTTCCCCAGCCGCTGCCAGTACATGCTGGGCTTGATTTCACACAGCCGGCCCAGGAAAGGAAAAGACAGAGAGGTCTTAGAGCCAAAATCACCTCCAGAGGCCCTGGGCTGAAGGGCATTTCCCAACTGGACACAGAGACCCCAGCAACTCTGACTCCATCCAACTGATCCATTTGGAAATTATTTTTTAAAAATAATAAATGTTTAACAAAGAGTTCTTAGTAATATTGTTGTGTTAACATTACTCACAAAATGTAAGTCCCTTATACGATGAATGTGTTTTATTTTTAAAATAATACAGTTCTGCTGAAACACTGCACTAACATTTCCTTGACAGTAATTTTGGTATCCTGCCCATTGATGGTATTGCCTACTGGGCTTCACATACCGCAAGAGCAAGACCGCCCGGCTAGAGTAGTTCATACTAGACAGAAAATACAGAGTCAAGATATTTTGAGTCATTCAACTGGGGCCCCGGGCCCACAACCCACCAGTTCCAGAGCTCCCACCACTATGAACCCTTCCCTGGGTGCAGAATCTAAAGACCAGTCCACACTCAGGATGATCTCATGGTTCTACAGAGGGAAAGCCAGGGTCCAGAGGCTTCTGTCACTGGGGCCAACTAGTTGAGAGGCCACTGCTAGTGGTTAGCCTAGAGCCAGTGCTTTTCCGTTTCTTATTATTAAATTCAGTGCAGTCAAAGGAGAATGTCCGTCAGTCTCCTAGGCTGTCTGCCTAGAGGGGGACTGTCCTTCTCTCTCCATAAGAACATCTAGTAGATTCCAATCTTTTGTTAGCACCCATATGTTCCGGAGAAGGACTGAGCTCCAATGGTGGGTTTTCTAGAAAGATCTAGAAAGCCTTTCTTCTGAAATACCTCTGGTTAGACTTGAACTTCCAACCCTTCCATTATAAGTTGAGAGCATTAGTATGACCCAGTGACTCCTAAATTATTGGAGTAAAGACTTGGAATCTTAACTGCTGCATTTGTTTTGGCTCATTTTCTTAATCATACATGCGGATACCTGGCAGTTCAGTCCCATTCTCTCTCTGCTCAGCTTTTAATATGTTTATTGTTATCTGTCCAAACACCATCTCTGCAGCAACTATGTCTACCCACACACTCAGGCCTGGAAAATGTCTCTGGTGGTTCCAATGAACTCTTTACAACAAATCTTGCCTAACAGTCCCCAACTAAGATAGGAAGAAAGGCCAGAAATAAATTAGCCACTAGAGTTGGGCACTTCCCAGCAACTACGTTTTAATGAAAGGGATAGTGGAGAAGGCTTCCCACTCTTAAAAAAATCTAGCTTGTGAGTCCTGAGGCACTGACTTACGCATTTACCATAACCTCAAAGTTGGTGAAGGTACCAGAAGCAAAGAACCAGAAGTGAAGAGAGTAGGTGTGGATTGTTCTTTAAAGAGGAAATAACAGCCGCTTCCCTATATGTTTCTCCCCACGAGGCTGTACTTCTAAACAGAGACTGGACCACAGAGGAAGTTCACCTCGAGTAGAGGGGCAAGGGCAGTCGGCCAGGGGCAGGAGAGGTAGGGTCCACGTCAGGAGGACACGACAGGGCGAAAGACCCTTCAAGACCAAGACTTGTTTCTTCAAGATGTTGGACACGTCCCGAGTGTTGTTTTCTAAATAAATGAAGCAAAGGAAATCCCTGTCTGGCTCTGCACTCAGCCTGTTCCTGCAGCCTCTCTCTGCTTCTCTGACCTGGCTTTGCTGCGCTCTCTGATCATCACGGCTGAGTCGGCCTCTACCACCACCTGTGGACCAAGCTGACTGTCTCCTGAGAGACTGAATGTGGGTCCAGAGGCAACCCCGCAGTTCCCCTTGCTGCTGTCTGTGCTCTTGGTGTGAGGTTACTACCCAAGACACCTTGAGGACCTAGACTCCTTGTCCCACTCCACCATCTCCGTTGCAGATAGTTCTGTGGCCCTGCATCCTCCACACCTCAGACCCTCAGCGTTTGGTCAACCCAGACCCTCTCTAGGCTTAGGAAGCTCACACCTAGCCAACCCCCAAGCAGACTCCATGCCTATTCCTCAGATTGAGACTCACTATTCATTACTCGTCACTGTTGTTGTTGTTGTTATGTGCCGTCGAGTCGCTTGCGACTCATAGCGACCCTATGTACAACAGCCCTAACTCCACTCTGTCTTGTGCCAATCGCACTGTCTCTGACACGCCCATCCCAATTATCCCAGTCACTGAATCAATCCACCTCATAGAGGGCCTTCCTCTCCTGCGCCGTCCCTCCACCCTCCCAAGCATGATTTCCCTCTCCAAGGACCGGTCTCTCCTCACTACATGTCCAAAGTAAGTTAGACGGAGCCTCAGAATCCTTGCCTCCAAGGAGCCACCCGGTTTAACCCTCTCCAGGACAAATCTATTTGTTTTCCTAACAGTCCATGGTATTCTCAGTACTCTTCTCCAGCACCACAGCTCAAAGGCATCTAATTATCATATTTCTTGGTTCTACGCACTGGCCAGTAGATCTAACACACTTATAGGGATGGATTCTCAGAGAGATCCGAGGTTGATACCAAGGAAACAACTCAAACATGTTACCATTCATTGACAGTGTAAACAAAGCGCAGTGTGTTCCTGCTATGACAGGTGTGGTTATTGGTAAGTGCTCTCAAGTCGCCCATAGCGCAAAGAGATCAAATTTTCATCTTTTCCTGCACCTCTGCCATGCTCACACCCACTGTTACTGTCACTGTGTCCAATCTACTTCCTTGAGGGTCCCCCCCTTTCCCTCACCCTCACCTTTTCCCAGCGTGATGTCTTTTATTAAGGATTGGAGTCCCCTGACAACATGCTCAAAGAATGTATGATGCAGTTTCATTATCCTTGTCTCTAAGGAGCGCCCAGGCTGCATTTCCTGTAATACAGATGCTGTTCGTTCTGTTGGCAGTCCGTGGCATATTCGGCACTCTTTGTCAGCATTACGGTTCAAAGGCAGCTCTCTTGCAGCTCTCTTCCTTTCGTCTTCCTTGCTCAGGTGAGGACGGTCGTAAGTCAGGCATGGTAGGAGGCTGGGTGGAGAGTGTGTTGAGCTGCCAATGAGACTAGGAAGGCCTGAGGACACCTGTGAGCCAATGAAAGGCAGACCCTCTCCAATCAGAGTCAGGGACACTGGACCTAGGTGCCTCATGACTCCGCCTGTGCAGTGGACGCTGTCCCCAAGACAGTCAGATTAGCTGTAAGTGCATGAGCGACATCAAGAACAATGGACAGAACTGCCCATCACACTATCTCATTGACCGCCCACCACATCAGCCCATTGGCCCAGCTTCAAGCCTGTAAGCACATCTAACTGCAGAGCCAGCCAGCTTTACTGAGCCATGTGTCCTGGAGAAGGGGCTTCCCTCCACCTCTTCACTGACCTGTGAAGCATTGTCCTGTCTCGCTCTGCGGGCATGTCTTTACCAAGAAATCTCTGCTGTCACCTTAGTCTCCTCATCTATTCTTTCAGCCACGTGTTCTAGCCAGGGCTTGACCCTCGCTGAGTTTATCTTCAAGCAGGACATCACTAGGCCAAACCCAGAAAATTCACCCACAATCTATCTTCCGCATCTCCCAATCCAGTTCAATTCTTTGTAGGGGCAACAGAGGCCAAACCAGGGCAATTACTGTATATAACATTCCTTGTTCATTGTTCAACTTTGATGTGCCTATGAGCCAACTGAAAATACCTAGGCTTGGCGAGCTCTGGTGGCCTAGAGGCAAGAAGCTGCACTGCAATCCCAGAGGTGCATGGTTTGAATCCACCAGATGCTCTGCTGAAAAAGGAGGGACAATGTCCTCCTGTACCAGTTAGATCCTATTTGACAGTACATACAAATAAAAATAACCTAAGTGCCCATCAACAAACGAATGGCTAGAGAAGCTGTGGTATATTCGCACAATGGAATACTATGCTGCATTAAAAAATAA